ATACCTTGAGTGAAGGATTCACTTTCATCTTTGGCTTAGGTTTCTGAGAGGATTTAGATACCTTGGTCCTTGAGTAAGAAGGTATACAAGATGAAGGTTTATATATGGGTCTATTTGACTTGTTAGCCTTCTTGGAAAGAGGAGCGATGGTAATGACTCTATCTTTGTCTTTGGCATCCTAAACTCGAGGTAGTTCCTTCAAGATTAGTCTCAATGGAAGAGTACTGGGAGAAAGAGGTGTCAGGAATGGAAGAGAAAAAAGTACCAAACTTTAGCATGGACTTGTCAGTGACACTTTCTTCCTGATCATAGGAAAATCCTAGATCACTCTTTATATTAGCAGGGATCTTAATGTTGATGATCTCGGAGGCCTTGATGGAGGCTTTGCACCATCATTTAATGGTAGCTCTCTCAGCCTTGAGTTCAACAATAGCTTGCTCACGCTCATTGATAGCTTGCTCGCGTTCGATGTTTATGGTTTGGTTTACAATGACCCAATCCTTAAAATTTTCTTCAATCTTAGTCAGCTCCTTGATCTTTGAATGCCATTTCTCTAATTGTTCTTGAAGATCAAGATTAAGCTTTTGAACTTTGGACTTGCCATTCAGGGCATTGTAAAGGTCAACTGTCAATAGGTCTAGTATAGATAGTCTATCAGAAAAAGAAGAAGAAGAGGGTTCATTCAGGGAACATGCCTGAGTAGCGGTTGGTGACGAGGGATCACAGGAAAATGACGTCTCTTATGGTTCATCTTTGACATCCTTGGACATAGACAGAAGTAGGCCATATCTTCCTCGTTAGAGGATGATTCTTCAGAAGAATCAGCCCAGTCACACTCTTCAGCGACAAGACCTTTACCTTTACGCTAAAGATTCTTTATCTTCTTGTACTTGTCCTTCAGCTTCAGGTATTTATCATCTTTAGATCTGAAGTAGGATGGGGGCTTGGAAGATGGCATCGGAGTTCCCTTAGACCTGCATTTATTAGCAAAGTGACCTTTGCATTGACAGTTGTAGCCGATCGCTGAAACCTTGTCAATGGGATTGACTTTGGCTTTTCAGTTATGGTCAGCGAGGAAGATCTTCGATATCTACTTTTATGGCAAACCTCCTAAAAGAGTTAGTTAGATCAAACTCTGAAAGATCAGCGTCTGACAAGCCCTCAGAGTTAGAAGGATCTAACTCAGTGATAGATACAGAAGAAATAGAAGGGTCAGCTGAAGGGATATTAGAGATCAAAGCTAACGGAGAGATTTTCATTTACCTACAGTCTTTAAGAAGATTCTTCTCTAGCTGACGGGATTGTTCATGATTAAGCAATATCCCATAAAGGGTACTGAGAGAGGGGGAGTACTTGTCGTTGGACATCTTGAGACACATGATATAATGATCCCATGATTCTGGCAAACATTGAAGGAATTTTGTCAGTGTCTCTTAATTGGAATATTCTCTTCCAACTGTCCTCAAATAAATAAGAAAACAATTAAAATGTTGATGTACTTCAGAGAAAGTTTAGGTATCTCCATAAAGAAAGCTTTCATATTGTCTTACTAAATTAATCTTCCTCGATTCTTGTACTTCAGTAGTACCTTCACATGGTCTTACTAAATTAATCTTCCTCGATTATTGTACTTCAGTAGTACCTTAATAATGCTTATGCCACTGAACTCAGTCAAACATTTGAAGTAGTGCAGGATTTGGTTGATGAAAAACATTTCTGGATTGCTTCGTGTAAAACACTTTATTCAGAGGAGAATTAACGTTTTTGTTTAGTTTTGTTTCACGTCATACACTTATGTTGTTGTTTTCGAGTTGGGGTATTTAGTGATGTTTAATGTTTATGTTTTGGAAGTCTACTTCACATTTAATTTATAGAACTCAACATGCAAAATATAAAAAAAAAACACACATAAGCAATGTAGTAATATAATCATTAATAAAAAAACACAAATGAAACATAGTCACCTACTAGGTTTATTTAAATCAAATTTGTGCACAGTTGATTTTTTCCGGCTACCAGATATCCTCCTAGCTGCTCTCATAGTCTCTTCATCCGTTGGTAATGTACTTGGACAATCGCGACAATTATGTCCCTTCTGACCGCATCTACTACATTGTTTCTCATATATGACCTCTCCTTGGGAAAGAATGAGTTCACGTGTACCTTGTCGATTTCCTCCTTTTTTTATCCACAAGAGGTGGTTTCACTGTCATATATTCACCGGGATATTCTCATGCCACATGAGGATTAACAATATTTAGTATCTTCATGTATGTAGCTCAATAAATTTGCGTCGTGTAGTATTTTGTCGCCCAAAAATTCGTTTATGTCATTCTAGTCCTCCTGCAAACTGTTATCACATGACCACATGGTAAACCAGATAGTTGTCATTTCCTACAACTACAAGTCTACTCCATTAGATCAACAACACCATTCCTATGGCCATCTCTTACTTCAAACACAGTGTTTGTAACATTGTGTATTGTCCATGTTGCACTTTTGTTAATTCTTTTAATCACTTTTTCCTTCGCCCAAGGGGTAAACTCCTGTTTAAGTGAGACTGCATAATGTATAGCTCATTCAGGTTAAAAACGTTTACGTAAAAAAAATATATTGTTGTTTATATATTTACCTCCAACTTCTCGATGGTCATAATACAATTACTGTAGTGAGATGCGGAAAAAATCAATCAGCCTTGATATCAAAAGGCATCGTGCATACCTTGACAATGTATTTACGGACTCCGTACTATTGGATGTCATAACATTGTAACACATTCCAGCGAAATGTGTTGTTGACTATTTCGTTTTGTCAGCATCGTCAAGTGTTTTTCTTGCACTGACTAGTAGTGTTTGACGAAGTTCGACTAACTGTTGTTCAAAATCTTTTACCGTATAAGCTTTGCAGGTCCTCCAAAACATCTCTCCCAACAACTTGTCTTTTTTCGTGCTAAATCGAAAATTCATTTCGAGATGTCGACAACAAAGCCCGTGATTCGCGGTAGGAAATACATATCTAATCGTCATGTTGATGGAAGCAACCTGATCAGATATAATGCATAAATTTTCCGACTCATTTATGCATTCTTTCAACCTGAATAAAATTCATGTCCAAGACTCTCCACTCTCTGTCTTGCCTACCCCATAAGTAATATGCAAAATTTGATTGTTTCCATCCATGCCAACCGCCAAAAACATGGTACCAAAGTAAAGAACTTTCAAATGAGCACCGTCTATTATAATCAGCGGTCGTAAATTGATAGAATCTATAAAAATTGAAAAAGAACAAGTGGTCGTAAGTGATTCACTCGTTTAGAACGTTGATATTTGGGGGCCAGTTCTTAAAGCTTCACAATAGGGACTTGCGTTGGAAATGGGGGAGTCATGCACCAAAATAAATTACAACCCACCATGGCACTAATGTTATCCCTACCAATACCTTCCTTATCTTCCTCCTCTGCCCCTTCTTTATCTTCCATATCCAATTCGCTATCATTATTATCTTATTGTAGCCCCAAATATTCATATGTATTGGGATGATACACACAATCGCCCGAGACAACCCCATAATAAGGATCAAGATCAACCTTATATTTCTCAAATGCATTTTCAGTGTCATTTAAATTGGCTTCATATTCTTCGGCATAAATTTCAGAAATAAGAATGCCATAATCAGATGGTATATCTTGGTATTAGTACGTCGGACGATTTCCGTATGACTTTTATGGAGTGTTGTACGATTGATATAGAGTTTCATACGTCCCTTGGATTTGAAATAGGTGATACTGAGACTAGTATGTTTCAAGTAAGGTTTGAAACGGTTGATATTGAGTTTAGTACGAATGATATGGAGTGCTAGGAGTTGTCTCATCACCTTGAAACAATTGGTATGGAATGAGTAAAACTATGTTTGGTTGTAACCCAGCTCACATTGGTTTGTCACATATGGAATGAGTGGAAGTGTATACTGAGGGTGCTCGGCCCCATACACAGTGGCTGGAACAATCTCTTCTTTTGAGTTTGACTGATTGTTTTCAATGCCATGATCGCAAATGTACAATTTTAGGGCTTGCGGCGAGATATTCACACCAATAGCCAAAATAATATCTCGTATTATCGGTGTCAAATAACTCGACAATCGAATCAGATGACAAAGATTTATACATTAACTTAAAATGATATAATCTACCACGTCGTTGACTAATTGCCACGAACCTCCACCAAAAACACGTACTCTAACTTTCTCAATCACATACATTGATTTGAGAAGATAATTTTTTCTTTTGTAAAAACTGGATTATAACGTATATATCTCATATTTTAGAAAAACCTGATATATAGGGGCTGAGGAGGAAAAATTAAAAGTTGAATGGTGTGTATTGGGAAGGAGCACAACTGGAAAAAAAAAAACAAAAAAAGGTGGCAGGTGGGCTCTTACCCACCTGCTGAGCCCACCTGCTGGTGCGTAAGGGTCGTCAAGGGGTGGTCTGCATCAGGTCATTTTATGGTCAAGTTGTCAAATCATTTTTTTTTTTTTTGCAATATAGTCTTTGTATGCATCAAATAGTGCTAACCTAGTAATGAATGGTTAAAAGTTTGAGGTTATAAAATTTAGGGTTAAAAATGTAATTGCTTATTTTTTTGGGTTATTTTGAGAAAGATCTCGTCATAATTGAAAGGTACCTAAGAAAAGACATTTAGATGGTCGGTTCCCTTTTTATCTTTCTTTCCAAAAGTTTGAATTGAATACGGAAAACAATGCTTTACACGAGTATGAAAAAAGTGAAATTTTCTTGTCCATACAAAATACTAACTTGCAATCTTCGTTCATCCATCTCTCTCTCTCTCTATATATATATAATATATATATATATATGACTATATGTACATCTCATATTTATAAAATAAAACATCAAAAGCTACATACCTTTAGTAATAAACAAATGGCTTCACGATTTTATATTAGTCCATTGTTCAAATGTAGTTGTGTTTCTTTATGCAAACATGATCTGTATCCTGGGCGGTTGGTAAGTAGTGTTTTGCCGAGCAAAAGCTCTAGGATTTGCATGTGCTTGTCTTTCTCTACTCTGCCTTCTTCCACCATTGCAGTGCCACTGAACCGAGATAATGATTCTCTCCTTCATGTGTATCAACCCAAGGTAGGTTTAAGTTGTAGACATGTTTAGTTGATACAGTGCATAATATAACCTGAACATAATGGAAAAAGAGAGGTTATCTAGTTTTGTAATCAAATGCATTAAGTGTGATTTTCGTTTGCTAATTGATAGGCAATTCTTCCTAAAGCTGTGGTTTACGACAGAATCGAGCAACTCAAGGAAAACACAAGAAGAGCTTTGATGTCAATTTCTGATCCCATAACGAGAATGGAGCTAATTGACACGATTCAAAGATTGGGGGTTGGGCACCATTTCGATGAAGAAATGCATGAAATTTTGGAAAATCTCACAGAAGATCTGCCTGATGACAATTTATATGCAGTGGCTTTATGCTTTCGTCTTCAACGGCACAATGGTCTCCATACTAATCCTGGTACTATTTTATCTCAACATCATTAAAGTTTAACACACTTTTAATCTATGTCCAGTTGGCATTCATCATAATTTAAAAAAAAAACATCACGATTGATATAGAAGTAAATTTGTATTCCAACACAGATGTTTTCCAAAACTTCATGGATGCAAACGGTAAGTTCAAGATGTCGTCGAGTGATGACATAGAGGTATTGTTGAGTTTATATGAAGCTTCATACTTGGGAGCAAATGGAGAAGATATCTTATCACAGGCAAAGGAATTTACTACAATGCAACTCACGAGTTTAGTTTCCCAATTAAACCCCAAACTTGGTACAAAAGTTCTTCTCAGTTTAGGGCTTCCAAGACACTTGAGAATGACCAGGTTAGAAGCAAGAAGGTATATTGACGAATATGGTAATGAAGATGATCACAATCCCATTGTGCTGGAACTTGCAAAGTTGGATTACAATCATGTCCAATCACTCCTACAAAGGGAGCTTGTGGAGGTTACAAGGTTAATCACTTCTGTTTCGGTTTTATATTCCATTATATATCTTGGTACATTATTTAACTTGTGATTTTGATTTTAGGTGGTGGGAACATTTGGGTCTATTGAAGAAGCTAAGTTTTGTCCGAGATCGACATCTCGAGTGTTTTCTGTGGACTGTTGGAGTCTTGCCCGAGAAAAAATACTCTGGTGGCAGGATTGAGCTTGCTAAAATCATTGCCATTTTGTTGGTCATTGATGATATATATGACATTTATGGCTCGTACGAAGATCTTGTACTCTTTACCGAAGCAATTAGAAGGTTTGATCATAATGTCTTATTAATTCTCTCATTCAAGTGTCGACAAGATCTAAAAACTAACATTGTAGTTCGGCAGATGGGATTTGAGTGAAATGGAACACCTTCCTGAGTACATGAAGATAAGCTACACGGCATTATATAATACTACCAGTGAGATTTGCCATAAAATCCTTAAAGAACATGGCTTAAGTGTCGAACCATTTCTACACCAAACGGTACTTATTTAATCATTTTACTAAAATATTCACCGTTTTCTCTGAGATATAACTGCCAACGTTTTGATTGTTAGTCTTTTATATTCTAGTGGATTGACATGGTTGAAGCTTACATGGTGGAAGTCGAATGGGTGAGAAGTGGGACTATGCCAACCTTTGAAGACTACATAAAGAATGGGGTTACGACATCAGGGACATGCATGGCATTGGTGCATCTATTTTTTCTCATATCCGAAGGGGTAACCGAAGAAAACATGAGACATCTTCTTGATCCATACCCTAAATTCTTCTCATTGGCTGGAACAATTCTTCGTCTATGGGATGATCTGGGAACTTCAAAGGTACTGCTCATTTATCAACAAGAATGCTATTTGGAGTTGTTAATTTTTATTGATAGTTTATTACAAAATTGGAGTCATTATGGTAGCGATAATTATTGTATTAACGGTACAGCACCATAATGGCTGGAACATCTACATTATATAGAATAAATTTTGGTAATAAGACTTCAGTTAAGCATCAACCAGTCATAGGTTTGATTGAAAAGAAGTTCTTAATAATATTATATGGCCATAAATATGTACAGGAGGAACAAGAAAGAGGGAATGTGGCATCAAGCATACAGTTGTTGATGAGAGAAAAGAACATAACAAGTGAGGAAGAAGGAAGGAAAAAAATCTTGCAGCTCATCAATGAGTTATGGAAAGATCTGAACACAGAGCTAGTTACACCAGATGCATTGCTCTTGCCGATGATCAAAGTTGCCCTTAACATGTCAAGAGCTTCACAAGTTGTTTATCAACACAATGAAGATAGTTATTTAACAAGTGTAGAAAGTCAAGTACAATATCTGTTCTTCAAACCTATTGATATCTAGTTCCACAATGCTTTGTTTATTTTTTTTCCGCCTGCATAAAAATGTCAGTGTCTTTTTTATGTGCCTTATGTTGTTCAATATGTGCAAGTTGTAACATGTTATATTGCCAGGCCATACAAAGTTCAATCAGTAAAATCTGGTAATCATTCCAAGTTATTTAAATCTTCATCTTCTCTTCGGATCTCTTAAAATAGAGTCACTTTGAACGATAACATTGAGTACGATTACACGTATTTGGGTTTGAGGTCTTACTCTCTTCTTTGTGCATGAATGAAGACAATTTATAAAATTGACGGGTGTCGAGTCCGGCAAATTATAAAATTTATAAAAATCAGCCTATTATCTCTAAACACACTTGTAATAGCGATAAGTAGGGTCGTCTCCTCAGGGACTCGGTGTTAACCGTAAGTCCAAGACGTAACCGCGTGCAAATTCATTGACATTAAAACAATATATAAAAAGGGAGGGGGGGTTGGAAGATTTATAAATAGCCTAAACATGCAAAATAAATTGGGAACTTTAAACAATAATAAGAACGAGACTAGTAATGAGCATCAATCAACTAATCCTTTGGATTATATATCATCGACTCATTCAATCCATTTTCTCAAAAGAAACCAAGTTGGTTAGGACATCGACACGCGTCAATATTCTGTTCGTTATAAAAGCATGATCAGTCTCGAACGCTCTACGACTAACCTCTAATTAGCTAATCAAACCTAGTCACGGACTTAGAATTTAATTGCCAATTGCATTAACGTCAAACAAACCCAACACTAATCGACAATCGGACGCCRATTGTTTAGATTAGATTATACGATCTTACAACATCATCATTTAACCTAAACGTCAACTGTGTGTCGTGTGCTACTTCAATAAATCGAAAAGCAATTACGGACTTAAAGGTTTATCTAGCAACTCGAAATTGAATTAGACATAATAAGGGATCCTACTCAAAATATCCAACTCAAAACGATAAACATTCAACTCCAAAATCGCATAAATAGCTTCAAATGATATGATGAAATTGACGTAAGTCTCAACAAATCCAAATTCAAAGTAATCACATACCCATTACTCGAAATAGAAAATTAGCTACACATACTAAGAATTAGAAATCGAGTACTTACAAAATGCTTGTAAAATTGGAATTTAGGAAAAACCTGTAGTCTCCTCGTACTCGCCCATGATCCACGATGTACTGCCCATCTCCCGATCTCTCGCTCTCCACGTTTTTCCTCGTCTCTCTCTCTCGATCGATTTCTGCCTGGGCAGCAGCGTTGGGCTACTGCTGTTTCTTTTTTTTTTTTTTTTTTTTTCCTATCATGGGTTGTAGTTTGGACTTGCTTTTGGGCTTGCTTTTTGGGCTGTTTGGACACAACAAACAATTAATAAAGTTTTTTTTCTTTTTTAACTTAAATAGCCTCAAAAAGTTAAATATCAACTCAAAATTAAATTAGACCTTTTTAAGCATATAATTGACTTTAATCGCAAGGTAATTTGATGTAAAAATGTATAAAATTTGCACTTATCAAAAATATATCTTACAGACACTTGCTTTATCATTTGACAGTTAAACAATAACTAACTATTCTTCGCCATAGCAATAATTGTTCTCCCTTGAAACGGGTCAAGGAATCATATCCCGTGAGGAGAATGTGGACCCTGAATACGATCCATGATTCAAATCCAACATTTTCACCATAGTGAGTGCATATAGAAAAAGAGTGGAATAATAACAAGTGGGGTTCTAGTGTGATTCTTGCCTTTAGATAATATATTAATTTTCCTAGTGCTTTACATCCTTCCCAATGTTTTAAATGAGGTGAACATGGAATTGTCGTGACGAAAATTCATAACCCTTACGAGTTATGGTGAGACCATCGAGTTTTTCAAGTTAGTAAATGTTAGTGTTAAAATGGAAGACTTTTACCTACTGATTTTTCCGTGGGAAATTCATCGCTGAAGGGTGATTCTTCATAAAACAGTTACAAAAATTGGTGGGTAAATTGTTGGTGTAAAACTTAAATCAATGACAGATTACCCTTGTATTTTCTGGGTGGTCCGTTGATATTTTCTTAAAAAATATCGGATTTTACCAAAACCATCGGTATTTAGGTGATCCGTAAGTGGGTGATTTTTATGGGTCAAAATCATTTGTTTTGTAGTGTATATAAAATACGCACACACATACAAAGATAGTTAGGTTCGAATAAGAACATTAACCAAACAAGAGTACACAAGAACGGCCAAATCAAACCACAAGTGTTGTGATGTAATGGTTGAGGTCCTAGGGGATGTGGTGGAATATATATCTCATCTGCCCACGGTTCAATTCTAGACGTACATAACAATTGTGTACCAAGACTGGTTTTTTGTAGTCACAATTTGTTAGGATTAGTGCGGCCATAGCCTGGGATACCCTTCCAAGAAAAAAGGCCAAATCATATGTGATTCATGTGATTTCAGGTCGACCGCTCATCCTTGCGTTAACCGTGTTTTGTGACCGCATGTAAAATGTGATTTTCATGTGATTTGACCGTTTTCTTGTTTTCTTATTTTGATCATATTCTCATTTCATCCCATCTCTCTCTTTCTCCCTATATAAATACATATGTTTGTGTGTGCTAGTGTTTTGAATAATACCACAAAATAATTTAAATCCCATATAAATTTAAAAAGTTCAAAAAATAAAGAACCAATTGGTAAAAAATATATGTTAGCTTATAACAAATTAAAATCAAGAGTGCAAGTTGTAGCAACAGTCTTCACAATGGGGGAAACAAACATGTTTTTAATCATGCTGACTATTAAGGTGAGGTGTGCAGTATATGGTCTACTTCATGAATACCTCTCGAAGTCTTTTTAGGTATTTTTGCATGTGGATCTGACAAGTGATCACTGTTATTTGAAATCTTTTCCAATATTTTAAAACAATTATCGTAGGTACTTGTTGTAAATGTTCCTCCAATAATGGCATCGGACACCTGGCAATGGCATCTAGACCATTATAGAATGCCTCTATTGAATGTTGTATGGAATACCATGGGGAGCGAATTTCCTTAACAGTTCTTTAAACCTTTCCCAAGGATCCAGAACTGCTTTTTTCATCCATTTGTCTAAACATGCAAATTTAATTTCTGGACTTAGCATTCTGTGTTGATGGAAAATATTTCTTTAAAAACATTTCAGTCGTGTCATTCCAAGTGATAATTGAATCTATTTTCATAGAGTTATACCAAGGATTTTCTTTATCTTTTAGTGAAAAAGGAAATAACTTTAGCCATAAGGCTTCATCAATTACTCTATTGAGATGAAAGAGTCAGTGATTTC